ACCCACCCACCCATCCATCCATCCATCCATCCATCCACCCATCCATCCATCCATCCATCCATCCATCCATCCATCCATCCATCCACCCATCTACCTTATTACCCATCTAGCAATCCAGTTAACTATACATGTACCCACTCACTCACTACTCACTCACTTACCCATACCACCTACCCATCCATCTGTCCACTTATCTAGATAGCCATCCATCCATCAATCCATCCATCCTTCTGCCCAGCCCACATGTGTATCTACTTACCCATCCATCTACGCAGCCATTTATCTATGCACACATGCTTCCAGCCAACCATATTTATTTTTCCTCAAACTTTATTTATGGTGACAGTGGCAAGCCCTGCATGAGAAACAAAGACCTACTGAAGAAGAACATTTGTCATGGGGGGAAGAAAAATACAACAAGTAAAGGTAGAAAAGCTAGAGTGATTGGAGCTTAGGAGTGAAAGCAGGCCGTGGGGTCCTCTAAACCCCTCTTTACCCAGCTCATTTTCCTAGACACCTGGGTACCAGTCTATCTGTGTGAACTGTATGCCTGAGATAAATTGAATTATGTGGTCACACTTACACAGCTGGGGAAAGAACACTGTGTAGCCACTCCACGAAGGCTCCCAGAATGAACGGCATTATTATTATACAACCAGGCTTCCTACTCACCCAGGGAGTCTCATTGTGGTAAATAGCCCCTCATGTCCAGAGCATATTCATACCAAAATAATGAAAATTGGGTGTGCCTTCTTTTGGACATAGTCTGACAATATGGTTTCTATTCGGAGTCATTGTTATTTTTTATTAATTATATAAGCTTGTAATTAAAGGGATGGCAGTCACTGGCTCTTTCACTCTGGCCCTGTCACTTTCAGGGTGACTGTGGTGAACTAGAGTCTGGAAGAGGAAATCATCAGCACAGCATGTGGACATTATCAGACCAGCATGGCAACGATTATAGATGGTTAGCCAGGAAAAGAACTTCCACACATCCTAGGAGCTGTCATACAAAGAGGGAGAGAGATTTTCACACACTAACTTCAAAGGTCAAAACTGGGTGATAATTCTAAAAAAGATTTCAGTTCAACGTAAGATACTACTTTTTGAAGCAGCTATTAATAAGTAGACAACAAAACATGAAATGGAATGTTACTTAGCAACAAAAAGGAAGAGAATGTTATATGTGCTGTGATGATACAGATGACCGTCAAATACATCCTGTGAAGTTGTAGGTCACACACTGTACACTTCCATCTGTATGAGGTGTCCGGAGCAGGAAAATCTAAAGAGACAGAAACTGGAGCAGGGCTTGCCTGGGCTTGCATGCTCTCTCCACCCACTCACTCTTTCAGCCACACCACTTATTTAACTGCTTTTCGCCTATCTAGATAGCCATCCACATGCCCATCCATCCATCCATCCATCCATCCATCCATCCATCCATCCATCCATTCACACACACACACACACACACACACACACACACACACACACACACACACACCTGCGCATGCCTATCCACCCATCCATCCATCTAGCTAGCCACTCACATAACCATATATGTATCTAGCCATCCCTAGTTATATCTTCTCCAAATGTATTGAATGTCCATTGTATTTGTAGGAAGAATGCAAAGAAATGAGGAGCTACTGTTGATAGCAACATATTTTCTCTTTGGGGTGATGAAAATATTCTAAAATAAACTGAGATAATGGCTGTACAGCTCTGAATTAAAAAAAAAACACATTGTGTTTATTTACAGGGGCAAGTTGTATGGTATGGAAATATTTCAATAAAGCATTAATAAAGATAATTTGCCTATTTTTAAGTTTTTAAAACAGAAACATTCTTAATCAGAATGAAAACCTAGTAAAGTGCTTGGCCCATGGAAGGTTCTGGATATCTCACTAACTCTCTATTGGTTGTCATGCTTTGTCCTGCAATGGGAGTGTGTATCTAAAGCCACAAGAAAGAGCTCTTATCATTGTGGAGATTCCAGAAAACACTGGCTAACCATCTGGAGGGGATTGTAGTTAGGTCTCAACAGTGATGATTGGTCTTAGTTTGGGTTTTCTTCAAAATAGATCCAGTGGCATAATCTTGAGACAGGCCACTGATTTGGAAGTCAATCCCAGCAGCCAGCCGAGGAGAAACAGGTGCATTGCCAATGCCATCACCACAAGAACATGGCTTGACTCTCCAGGTCCCCCGAGAAGTACACAGAATGCCCTCCTAGATGGTCAGCCAGAGAGTGGGAGGTACAGATGTTGTCTGCTCTATCAAAACTCTTGTTGAAACTTGGTCCCCGATGTAATGACACTGAGATGTGGTGGGACTTTAAGAGGTGGGGTTCATGGGGAGTGACTGGGTAGCAACTGCTGGCATGAAGAGATTATCTGATCTTGGAAAGGGGTAGAGCAAGCTGTGATAAAGAGTAAGCCTGGTCCCGTGACGCTCCTTTTCCATCTCTTCTTGCCGTGAAATCTCTCCCGCCCGCTCGCCTCTTTCACAGGTGCTCCCACCATGTGATGCTGCAGACATGAGGTCCTCATGGAGCTGCACAGACACCAGCGCCGGGCTCTCAGACTTCCAGAACCTTGAAGTAGATGGAACTCTTTCCTTGTGAGGCATCCAGCCTCAGGCGTTCTATCACAGTAGCACAGCCATCTGTCCATCAGTTTCTCTCCTGTGGGTTGGGAACTACTCCTTAGGTATTAGCTCTCCAATATTTCCAGGTTACACTTTTACATGAGCTATGAGGACACTCTACAGCCCAGGGCTTGAAGCTCAAAGCCATGAATGGGAAGCCGTGAAGTGATCTTGGGCTCACATCTTACAGCTGTATTATGGGTACCAAGAGCAATTTTGGCTCAAATGAACAACCGAATGACTATGAACAATGCCTTAAATGGAAGTAAAGTACAGCAAAATAAAACTTTTCCAATGCTTTACATTTGAAAAGCACAACTCAGACAGTTTTTTTTTTTTGTTTCTTGCTAAATTATCTCTGTGCACATGTAAACAGTGGGTGAGAAACGAAGATGTGTTCATTCCCATGGTCCAGAGTGAAGAGTGATGCTTGTCTGGAGCGATCGCTTGACTCTTTCAGACAGGGAGGTACATTGCAAGATGTTTTCAGATTGGAGCTGAGTAAAATGAAGAGCTGTGTGTTCCAAGGGAAAGAACATGTGAGTCAAAGGGGAGCTGGACTCTTGTCTCTGTTTCGTAGGAATAATGTGATCTAGGACTTTGTGCCTTTAAGAGCCCAGCAGTTGGTCAAGGTCTCAGTGGAAATAGAACCAATGAGATGGATAGGCAGGTAAGTGGAAGTAGGTAAAAGTAGACAGACAGATAAAGATAAGATAGGCAAATAGATATCCTTTCATGTCCACCGGGTTTCATGTATATGGATTCAACTAAATATGGATCAAAAATATTAAAAAGAAATACCTATACTGAATATAATATATAGTCTTTTTTCCCCTTGTAATTTTTCCTCCAAAACATAGACTATATTTGGATGGTATTTATATGGCATTTGATATTATACAGGATAATGTACTTAGGTTACATGGAAATTCTTTTTGTATACATGTATATGTGTATGGATGTGTTTTTGAGACAAAGTCTCATGTATTCTAGCCTGATCTAGGAATCATGGCAATCCCCCTGCCTCAGCCTCCCAAGTGGCCTGGGCACATGAATTTATATAAGAAACTCAAGCATCTTCAGATTCTTGTATTTTAGTGTGGTCCTGGAGTAATAGACAGTAAAGGGTGATTGAATATGTTCAATGTGTATACACACCTGGGTATGTAGGTAGGTAGATAAATAGAGGATAAATGATGAATAGATATATGGATGGATAAATAGACAAATAATCAGACAGCTAGGATTATAGATGACAGAAAGCATCACTCATAGATAGATAGATAGATAGATAGATAGATAGATAGATACATAGATACATAGATACATAGATACATAGATACATAGATAGAGATACATAGATACATAGATACATAGATTTGAAGGAATTGCTGGAAGACGCCTCACTGGGTGGGAGCACCACCTTTAAGCTGGACAGCCTGAATTCTTTTTCAAGGGCTCACATGGTAAGAGGAGAAAACTGATTCCACAGCTTGTCTTCTCATCTCCACATGTGTTCCATGGTATGTTTGGGCATGCACATGGATGAGTACATATATACATGCATGCATACAATGAATAAAGTATAAACAAAAGATTTTAAGAAATTGGCCCATGCAGTTGTGTTGCCAAACCTGAAATCTGTGGGATTGGACACTGTGCAGGAACCTTACTTATGTTTCAGTCTTGATGCAGAATTTTTTCTTCCCTAGGAAATCTCAGTTTTTCTCCGAAAACTTTTTCCAACAGACTTGATGAGGGACCACCCACGCAGCCAAGAATAATCTTCTTTACAAGTCAACGAATTGTGGGCGTTAACCATATCTACAAAATACCTTCACAGCAACCCTGAGATGTTGCAGATGATGGCCCAGCCAAACAGACCCCAGAGAGAGACCTCCACTGTGTGTGGGGTGTGGCCCGGGAGTAGCTCAGGGCTCTTCTCAGTTCCATGGTTCCTGGACATGCTGCATTCTGGATTGCAGAACCCTGTGCTCTGTTCCCGGAATTCTGGGAAGTTCTAGCTAAGCCCTGAGGAACTAGTCTTAGAGAAGCCATGTGATGCTGTAGGCCTGCCGTGAACTTGGGGGAGGCCCTGACTCTGAATGAGACATCTTGTTACTCTTAGTGAGTCCAGGGTCACAAACTGCAAATACCTTGTTTAACAGAATCTCAGCTCCACTCTGAATGGTTCTTCCTCTCTTTCCAAGGGGCCAGGGATGTTTTCATCTGACAGGCAGACTTTAAAGAGAGCACATCCCCTACAAAGCACAGGCCTGCTGCCTTTTCCCTTGGGAAGGACTCCTCGCGGGGAGGCAAGGGCAGCAGTTACAGAAACTCAACACTCTCTCATCTTGAATGAGTTTTCAGTCAACATAACCAGATGTACATGTGTGTCTGGGACTCTCCACCTCGCTGCAGGGTGATCAAAGCCTGGAAGTGGGATGTGGCTTCCTGTCGGGAGCCTACTTTCTCCAGTGAAGGATGGAGGGAACTCTGTGGTTGTGCACACACTGAATGCCTTTTGCCCGGCCCTCTTTGCTCCTCACTTGCTGGTCTTCTAACCGTCTAATTGTGGTGATGTGTAAGCTCAGTGAAAGGCTTCTGTCTCTGCATGGGCATTTCCTGCTCTAGCGGAGCTGAAGCAAAGATGAAGTGAGACAAGGCTCTGCCTCTCCTCTGCGGCCTATGAGGGGCTCTGTGTCATTCTTGTGATTTCTACATTGGAGATGTACTTGTCATTTTACTGGAGAAAATGTCACATTAAAACAGTCTGAAAATTATTGCTGAGGCAGGAGGCCACTTAAGATGATAGACTTAGGTGTGATGGAGTATGATACCATGACAAAAGCAAGCATACAAACCATGTACGTCAACCCAAATAATAGAGGAAGGCTCCGCTTTGTTTATTTTACAGGAGTATGTAACCCAATATGGTCTCAAACTTGCTAGGTAACTGTGGATAACATTGAACTCTTTCCTGATCCCCCTGCCTCAGCCATCTCTCGAATGCTGGGGTTACAGACAAATGCCACCACGTCTTTCTTTGTAATTAATTTTGTGGTTAGCACACAAAGAAATGGATTTCAGGGTGACATTTCATACATGTGTTCTTAATTCCTTGCTCATATTTGCCCTCTTGCTGGTCCCCCTTTTCCTGCAAATGGTCTCCCTCTTTGCCTTTACATCACATGTATTCCGTCCTCCTCAGAGAGACTCTGACAGAACCATTTAGTTGGAAGTAAACAGAGCACTGAAAAATCCGGGCACAGCTTGCTCAAGGGGGCGGGGAAAGGGATTCTTTCAGAAGCAACATGACGGGGAGTCTGCTTCTTGCAATTCTTGGCCACAAGGATCAAAGGGAACAATGGTGGAGGACCAGTAGTGAAGGTGGCTCCAGTGGAAGTGAACGGCTTTTGACACACGCCTTACAGTGTGTGTGTGTGTGTGTGTGTGTGTGTGTGTGTGTGTGTGTGTGTGTGTGGGGTGTGTGTGTGTGTGTGTGTGTGTGTGTGGTGTGTGTGTATGGTGTGTGTGTGGTGTGTGTGGTGTGTATATATGGGTGTGTGGTGTGTGTGTGCGCGTGCACAAGGCTGTGGCCATGGCAGACTCCCCTGTGACGGTTCTTGCTATTGAGCATGAGTAACTGAACTTCCTTTCTTTTCCAGCTCCCAATCTTATTTATTTTTCTCTTTCTTGTGTGTGGGTTTGGTGTGCGTTTGTGTATATACACGTGAGTGCTCACATGTGTGCACAGGACAGAGGTTGATAGGTAGAGTAGCACTCTCCCACCTTATTCATGGATGCAGGGTTTCTCAGACAAGTCCAGAGCTTGCAAATATGGTCCATCTCCCCTGCCAGCTTGCTCTGGGGAAGGAGGCTGAATTACTGGGGGGGGGGGGGGCAAACCCATCAGGTGTCTACATGGGTTCGGGGTGTCTGAAAGCCAGTCCTCATACTGGTACAGCAGGTTCTGTAACCATCAAGCCATCTCCCCATACCTGATTTAGTTTTTTTTTGGATCTGACACAAGCTACTCTGTAGCAGTGATCTTAAAAGCTCTTATTAATAAAATCAAACCTGAGGCCAGGTATTGGGGTGAACACTGGAAGATCAGAGGGACAGAACAAGTCACAGCTAACCTCACCTGGCCAACTTCTCAGCTGATCTTGTTTCCTCAGACTGGAAGCCTCTGAGTCCTCAATTCCGAATGGCTTTCAGCTGAACTGTGCTGCTCGAAAGCCTGAAGCTTAACCAGCCAAATGCTAAACCAGCCAAATGCTGCTAGTTTCTGGTCTTCACGCCTTATATATCTTTCTGCTTCCTACCATCACTTCCTGGGATTAAAGGCTCGCTTCTTGGGATTAAAAGCGTGAGTCACCATGCCTGGCTGTATCCTTGAACACATGGATTTCTGCCTCTGGAATGCTAGGATTAAAGGTGTGAGTGCCACCATTTTCTAGCCTTTGTATCTAGTGGCTGTTCTGCCTCTGACCCCAGATAAGTTTATTAGGGTGCACAATATTTTGGGGAACACAATACCACCACACTACTCCATTTGGATTCTGAAAATTTCCACTCACCAAGTCTTCGGAAACGATTCTTTCCAGCACTTTTGCTGTCAGTCCCTGCTGTGAGTGTCAGAGTCCGATGTTCCTGCTCACACTCAAAGTATTGACAGAGGGAAGGAGAATGTGACACGGCCAAGCCACATCTAGGAAGAAGTTAGGATGGGCCCCAGGAGCCTCTTCTAATACGAAATCATCAGAAGACAGATGCTCAAAGAGGAGAGTCATTCTTGTCCAAAACCAGGCCAACTGTAGGCTCATCTGTTTCCAGAAAGTGAGTAGAGAATCAGCCTGCCCCAGCCAAGGCATCCAACCCCTGGCTGCCTGGCTTTCCATCAAATGGATGGTAACTTCCCAAGGTGCTAGTTTCACACTCACAGAGCAAAATGTCAAGCCCAGAATGCAACCCGCAGTTTAGATGGGAGAACTCCTGTTTCTCATCGAAGTCTCTACCTCCAGCTCATTTTTTCCTCAGTATATGTAATTAAACAAAATTAAAAGGTACAGCGTAGCCACAGAGGGAAAATAAACACCCTCTGAAATTACAAGAGCCTGGCGTGAGGTTGACTTTTCTGTGTGTTTTTGCGTGTGGGAAAGAGTGGTTTATCACACTGAGGTCAAGTTTATTCTGAGAGGTCCTTTTGGTGTTTCTGCCCAACCAAAAGGTACAGTGACCAGCTGACATTTTCCTCCAGAGCTGGCTTTGCTTATACTGATGGGACAAGGATAAGTAAGTGCGAGTACAGTTGACACCACAGACTGGGGGGAAGACTCAAGGGAACCTGGGTTAAGAAGATGTCCCCCCATGAGAGCTGGTGGCAGGAGGCATGGTTAAAAGGCTCAGCCTGGCCTCTGGGGATTCCATGAGCAGTAGCAGCACTGAGGTGCAGCCATACTTAAAAGTTTATACAAGAGGTGAATTTGTGAGTCTTGACCTCTACATTCTTCCTCTAGGACACAGTGTAGCTGGAGTTTTCTCCAGTCCTGCCTGGCCCACAGTCAGGACAAATCTCTTTCACCCATCAATCCCACAACCACTCAGACCCAACCAAGTGAACACGCAGAGATTTATATTGCTTACAAACTGTATGGCTGTGGCAGACTTCTTGCTAACTGTTCTTATATCGTAAATCGACGCATTTCTATTAATCTATAAGTTGCCACGTGGCTCATGGCTTACTGGTATCTTAACATGTTGCTTCTCATCATGGCGGCTGGCAGCATCTTTCTGACTCAGCCTTCCACTTCCCAGAATTCTCTTCTCTGCCTGTTCCGCCTATACTTCCTGCCTGGCTACTGGCCAATCCGCATCTTATTTATACAGAGCAATATCCACAGCACTTCCCCTTTTCTTTTTTTTTTTTAAAGGAAAGTTTTAACTTTAACATAGTAAAATTACATATAACAAAACAATTATCAAGCAAGAATTATAGTTACAATATTAAAGAAGATGTCCTATCTATCTTATATTTGTGAGTCTAAGGTTTTATATCTAACTTATCTTTTATCATAACTGAGGAAATTATAACTATTTAGTCTTCAACTACATCAAAGACCCCAGAAGGATATACTATTACCTGAGAAATGAGAGAAGGATGCAAGCAACTTTCAGGAGTCTTACAGGGTAGACAGAGACAGCTGACAGCCTGGACAGTCACCTAATGTTCCTTTGTAAAGTTGGGGCATCTGTCTTCAGCCCTCAGGCCTAGAGTCTCTCAGTCATTTCTCTCTGTGTCCTGTAGAATGTCTGGCAGTTTCCTCTGCAAAACAGGAACCTGAAGGACCATTTTGCCAAGCAAAGTTCAGTGGTCACCTTCCTATGGGTCCTGCATGTCCAGTTGATCAAGCAGTCCAGGCAAGATCAGTTTCTTGCCCAAATGGCTATTTTTGCCAAGGTGAAGATAAATTCCATATGGAGTATCTTCGATGCCCATCCTCTTCTCTGAAGTAAATTGGGGCTGCCAGGAGTAGACATGTCTCGTTGTCCAGAAACTCTAAATTTTTAAAACATTTTAAATGCCATATTCTGTATGTCTTTGAGGTGCTTGAAGATTACCTACCTAACTGAATTATATCTATGTATACCTAGAAAACAACATGACTATAAGTTTGACTATCATAGAAGACTAATTATTAATCTGTATTTCCCAATTATCCATTACAATCTAAATGAGTTACATAAACATAATACCTCAAATGAGAATAGAAATATATATACAGTATAACAAAATTAAGTTTAAACTTGTACCAATAAACTAAAATCCATAGCAATGTAAAACATTTCAAACAAGTTGCTCTTTAAAAGTAGATTCAATAATCTACCCTTTCAACCTATCATATCTCTATCATATCCCCTTTTCTTATTTAGAAAGAGATCACATTTATAATCAACCTGATTTAAATAAAAATAT